ACTCTGTGTCAGTGATATAAATCCAGATTTCAACAAGCTTGTGCCAAAAGTTCAAGCCCAGAGCTCACATTAACTTGCTGTTTCTTAATATGTTAAGCGATAACCCAGGCTGAAACGCACCGGGTGAGCCCATGCGATCATGCGTTTTTGCACCGGACTTTAATTGCTCAGGTCATTAACTGTATGAATGGCTGTTGCTTTACACCTGCCTTTTGCGGTCACTAGCACAAATTATCATAAATTTTGCATAAAGTAAATATGCGACTTCCATTTAATGGTCGTTGTTTAAAAGTAACTTAGCTGTTCAGTGAGAAATTTTTCTGCCAAAACTTTTAAGTGCCCGTGTGCAAGAATCACGCATACCTCAAGGCTGAATTTGAAATACTTAAGTTGTACTTGGACTTTTATCTTCCGCCTAAAACTTCAACTTCCTAGCTTTTCTGATTCCCGAATTAAAATTTTCCCGCAGAAACTTTCTTACGCCGTTACATGAGTACCACGCATAGCTTGGGGCTGAATTTGAAATATTTATGTTGTACTTGGACAGGGAACATTCTCTCAAAATTTCAGCTTTCCTGCTTTTCTCTTCCCGAAGCACCGTGTCGGATTGCAGAACGACCCAGTGCATAGCTGTGTATCAGATGTGACGCTTCCGAGAAATCGCTGTGACTGGCTTCAAACTTTGCATGCAGGTATGGAGGATGACTTGCCGGCGGACGAAGGGATCCGTTTCCGGAAAATTCGAGCTGTGGTTGGCACTGATAGTGAAGGGAGTGAATTGGAGTCGGGTGCGCGCTCGAGCCAGGAAGAGGAAGAGAGTTGCGAAGTTTGGAAAGAACGCGAAACTCCAGACATGTCGTTCGGATTTTGGAATTACTTGTGGAGTGAACTGATAAGGTGCGTTGATGGTGCGCCAGCACACCGTTGTTGTAGTTTTCGTATTTCACTGCTTGTTCACAGTCGGTTTAACGCGTTCCGAATGAGTGAAGCAGTGCAAGGGAAGAGTGCCAGTTGCAGGGGATACTCGCTGGATAACGACGAGTCGCGCTACACCGAGAAGCAGAAGAAAATCAATGCGTTCCTGAGGATACCGATCGAATTGGAGAAATTCCTCTTCTACGGCATACTGCAGTGTCTGGAAGCGTTTTGCCACCTCTCCACTTTTCTGCCAATTCGTCTTCTGGTGAGCATTTTCGAGCCATTGCTGTAACAAGGAAACGATGATTCTGCAGTGGCGAACAACGCAGATACTATGAAATATACTTTTGTCAGCTCAGGAGGAAGTACAGTGAATTATCAAACTGTGTAATACCGTGCGCAGTTTAATTTATAATAGAGGATCGGTTTAGAGAAACAGCTGCGTTGCCCCCCAGTGAAGTGAGACAGCCTAATTTAGTCAGGCGAAAATTTTGTGTGAGATGACAGGTTGTTTCAAGGGATCCATACAAATTATAATGGCATTATCCAGCTCGGATGTGATCTCAGAGGTCGGTGAACATGTTGGGAAGAGAGAGGGGAGAACCTCGGACTGATCAAAAAATTCCAGAAATCTCCCGTTGCAGATGTCAATTTTTGGTTCATTATTGTGTATAAGGAAATGGACGGCATCAAATACTTGTGATTTTTTAAAAGCCTTTATAGTGGCTGTTTGTTCGTATCTGATGACATTGATCGACACATCAGTGATGTACCATCAGGTTAATATTATTTATTCCAAACAATGACTTTCACTGCTCTGGTCCTGTTTTTTTTTTCCTCGATCTCATCGTGGAAATTTCATAAATGAGTTCAAATAGGAATAACTAGTTTTGGTTTGACAGGAATAATCGCATTTTTACATTTTTTGAGGTAGCAGATTTCTGTAGGTTTTCCCCCAAAATCAGTTATTTTATTGTTTTCGTAGTACCAACAAAGCTGATCACCTTTTCATGATTGCAGCAATCTGATCTGCACCACCTGGCGATTAGTCTGTTTGGCTTCATTTTTTTTTTCATTGTTCATTTTTTTCATTGTTTTTTTCATTGTTTTCA